TTATTTAAAGAAAAATCAAAATTTGCGTAAAGACCCGTAATCTACTTACAAAAAATAGTGTATCACGAAGTAACAACACAAATGTCTTCCAATCATTAAAAAGTGTTCGGTACAATTGAACGAAGGCGATGTTAAACGATTGTGAAGGTTATGTATGTTTGTATCGTTTAAATAACGATAGCCGAGTACAGAAAGAAAATAAAAGAAAAGATAAAAAAAACAAGGAGTTCTATCACAATAAAAATCACGATCGAATCAGTGACGAAAAATAAAGACACACTGTTCAGTTTCAAGTAATAATAGTGTCACGGGGTGGTCCAAAGCGTTGGAGAGTGAAAAATGGGTTGGGCTACGATGAGATTTGAGTGGCGGTGCATCTAGGATCATGCACTACCTGACACATTCCCAAATAGTAGTCCGAGCCGTGATTCGATGCGTTCTATGTTCTGCGTTCTTGTGTTCAACGAAACCGAGCGAGCACGCAGACGGCTCGCTGCGTGGTCATCCGCGTAAACTTCGACGGACACCACAGGGCTGTTAGGTTATGTCGCGTCGAGGTCACCTAAATCGGATTAATTTTACGCAATACAGAGGATGCAACGTAATTGTTTGGCCACGGGGGCCTCGGGACTGCGTCTCGGAGTGTCGTCGGTCACACGATGTGCACCGCGGACGCGTGGAGAATCGCGAAATTCCTTCGATTCGGAATTTTACCTCGAATTATGGCGATCAGACGACAGCGGACGGACGGGTTAAGCACGGCGCTACGAACGAATTTGTCCGCCGCCTTTACAGGTCCAAGTGACACGCGTGCGATTGGCAACTCAACTGTCCGGCAGGTGCATCATTTACTGATAATTACCCTCTTCCTTCCTTGCATTGAAATCACCGATCATCCATACGCTGATACCAATCATGGATGTGTCCGTAATGCCGAATCAACAATTTTTAAGTATGTCATGTGTACCTATTCTATAACACTTTTATACTCGTTAACCCATTAACACCCGCTCTCCCATTTTTATCATTGTCCCTTTTCAACAGTTTCTTACTCTGTATTCTAATCTCAACACGTACATCATTGTTTTCATGTTTGACCCACTTTATTTCTTCTTGATTTTGTTTTTGTTTCGAAACCAAAAACAAATAAAATAATTTTAGTAAATTCGGGTGTTAGTGGGTTAAATGTTTAACTCATAGTTGTCCACATTTTTTATTATCCATCTCTTGTAATCTCTGGCGTAAATATATATTGTCGTTTGAACGTATAATTTGAAACGCAGTTAACGATCATTCGATATGTGTGCGTATATTGCATACATAGTCACCCACGCATATATGAATTTATTTAATTCTCCGCGATGATTTCATTTTACATACTATACTGTCATATTAATTGTTTCCATTTAACTATCGCATTTTCTAATTTCTCATTTTACGGTATCATACGTTTAATTTTGAGTGCTTCCTAATTGTTCAAATGTTTCATTAAGATTTGTTTAATCGTTACGAAATTTGTCAGAACTTGTCGATTCTATACTCGAATATTCCAAGTTCTTCGCATCGTACAATATGTCATTCATAAAGTACGGGCTGTCACATGTTACGTAATCATTTCCTCTGAATTGCATACATCTACCGTAACAATGTAATCGTTATTAATGATTTATTTTGGAACAACAGACGTTAATTACTTGCGTTTTAAACTCATCGAGTACAATTTGTTTGCTAAACTGCATAGCATTATGGAAATGGAAATGTCGTATTTCGAAAATATTTGTTCGTTCTATTACAAACCATGAGAATTGATACGAAGAATAAAGCGAATGGTACATACGTACAAAATTTAACTCTTACATTTACTTTTGTTCACTTTGTCCAGTTTCCTTCTTACTTACTGGAAAACGGTAGATTTGACGAACATCACTTGGGTTGATCAGAGTCAATTTTCGCGCCACGGAAGTTTCGATAGTTTCGAACCACATAGGAACACTTCGATTTTCTATATTGGTATACTTGCGCGGAGGTCAACGCGATTCGGTGAACTGACCTCACAGTGCGTGGTGTGGTTTTCATTGCATTGCGAATTGCGAGGCAGTGTGGAATTAGTGCTCAAATGACAGGTCGTCGTGTCGTGTGTCGGTGTTTAACCTATATTATTCTGACAGAAATAATATTTTGAGTTGTATTCGGATCTCTGTGAATCGTCGAATGTATATTTTCTTAAGAAATCACAGCCTTGTAAGTAGAATGGTAGAAGAAAGTATTCGTGTACCATTGCTTTCAGCTGCTACTACTATTTTCATCATATAAAAATCAAACACTGTTCGTGTTCGATTTCTTAGACTTTGCAAATTGTTTCGATTTCTACGAAAATACAAACCGACAAAAAAAAGCAAAACACTCGTTTGTGCTTTCGTTCAGTATTTTTTTTCGTGATACAACAATGGAAAGCTCAAGAACGCAGTCTCTTTGCGTTCGCTTTAAATTTGTTGTTATTGTTACAAACTAATCAGTAACATTGTATTCCATGTTAAATACCAATTAAGTACGAAGAAAGTTAATTTTCTTAACTTCGTGTCTCAACTATTTTCAGATCTCGACTGTCTTTTACTTGTTTTCTTCCATTCGTGCAGAACTTGATTACTGATAAGCGTTATCGAAGACGAATCTGCGATATAAATGGACACGCGTTCTGTATTTAATGAACTTTTGATTTATCAATTTTGTGACGTGTTCATTGGACTGATTTTGTCTGCATCGTAGCATTCAGTGATAATTGGACTGCGGAGTTTCACGGACATTATTATTATTATTATTATTATTATTAACTAAAACACGGAACTTGAAATTTTTTAACAGGAACGCGTACTTGTCCTGCAATTAATCGATTAATTGACGACTTTTTCGTTTTCCTTATTACTGTTATAGTCAACCATGGAATTGGAAAGTTGCAACTCACATGGCGATCATGAAAACGGACCCAATACTCCTCTACACGAAAATGATCCCAGCGGAACAAGAAAATATTATCGACAAGCTAGTCAAAGGTAAGTTAAACTTTCTTCCAAATATCTGAATTACGATCTGCAATAATTTGTTACTCCATAAATTATAACTTGAACCTGTTTACTGGATGCTTCTTATATTCGTTCGTAATTAATTAATTATCATATTATCATAAAGAGATGGATATTATCGTAAAGCCAACTGCAATTACGATTAGGTAAACTTTAAATGGAAATAACTAATTTATGGCAATAATAATCATGACAATAAAATATGCGATCTCGCGAAGTTTAACTTACGATTAAACACTGGTTGCCGCTTTGATTAGTTCGTTTAAATATATTGCATAGAAACTTGTCGAGTAGTTAATTATCGATCGCTCCAAGATTTTTTTTTGTTCGAGATTACACGAAAGTTTGAAGTCAGAAACTTTGTAAATTGTTACAGTTATAATCGTCGTTATTGATTATACAAAGCATACTACGATAATCGATAAAACAACTCGAAGGGAAAATCGTGAGAAAGTGTTTAAAGTAGCATGTAGTTAGTTTGCCAACGATTATTCCATGAATCTCAGGGTCAATTACTGGCGACAGTGTCAGAAAAACTGTGTGCGTACGTTTATTGCTAAAAGCCTGCTATCTACACATGTACCGCGCAGAAAGCGACCACATTTTCGATGATATTATTCATAAGATGTTCAAGGCCAGCCGAAACCACCTACGCACTGTCAGAAGCGGCTCGATCACATGCACGAAAATAACTTGTTCAACTTAACATTAGAACTACCGGATTGGTTGAAATGACTAATTTTTGCTATCCGGTTTCATAGTCGTTCGAATCGTGAAAATATTTTCTGCCGGACGTTGCTCGAGTTAATCAACTTATTATATTATTGTTCGTTGTATATTATAATATGCACATCCGGTATGTTATCTAAAAAATATAGAACATTCGATTAGTTTGACAGCAATTGGCCACGGTGTTACTAGTATTATTTTGACACGGTCATGATCACGTTCAGGCCTGAGATCATGATCTCGATCGTAATCAAGAATACGAATACGTTTGCGGGCCTGCTGGAAAATTTGCCTCCGACTCGCAGTTTACAATTAGAGCTCGCAGCTCGCAACTCTTCCCCCCGCAGAAGAGATTACCTACGCCCACGGCTTATCGATTCGCTGCGGGGATCCGGTTCCAAATTTCTCCTTATTTCCTCCGGTATTTCCCCTGTATTTCCTCCGCATTTCCGAGCATAAAAGAGATCGTTGAAATTTTGTTACGCAACGATGACCGTCGCGCATTATCAAAACAAATTCGAACATATTCGCATGTCGTCGGAAACTCTATCCGACCAAAGGAAGGAAAATAATTTCAAGTTTTGTTCCGCGGTCTTTATTTTTGATTTTTGATTTTTGTTCCTTTACCGACAAAGTATAATATAGAAACGATCCAGGGCTGAGTTAGGCGAAGATTAAAACCCATTCAGAATTTCCCCGTTTACACGGTGCAAGAACACAACAAGACAATACACTGCAAGATGCACTTCTCATCGCATCGAACTTCTCCCCTTTTTATTGTATGGTAAAATGGAGTTGTCTCTTTCTTTCATCACTGACGACATTGCCCTCGCTCTGTGTATTTTTCCTTCCTGCCTATTATCGTCACATGAATGACCCCTGCAACCTTCTTATCTTTGTTGCTATTCCGGCCAAGTATTTGCCAAGTATTGTGTCGGCTGCGAGCGAAGCAGCCCAAAATCTTCATTAGCAATCGATCACTACGTCGTCACTGTTCGCATCGCCGTGCTGCACGCAAAACACGCAAAAGTGTGAAACATCGTCGGACCAGTGATTTCGTTATCAAGTTCTCCCAACTGCTTCACGATGAGCCGCCGAAATGTGGACGAGCTCGCGCCTCTAATCAAGACCGGTAATTTTTTCTTTCAATTTGTATTCTGCATTTCGTTGAGATTCATTTGACGAAGATCGTACCCACCGAGGGGAACATAGAACGTAGAATATTGAAAATAGATGATAGAAAATGGAAAATAGAATACGGACGATATCAAAATAATATTTGCATAATTATGTATCAATTCTGTCCAGAGATATTTCCACCATATGTCTACTGTTTATTTGCTTGCTATTTTCCATTGAATCATTTCGATCTATATTTGATTTCTCTTCGTTCGTTTATCGTTCTTACGAAAAAATGAATTCCAAGTCGTCATTCAGAGTCGCGAACGATGTACAAACTAGCAAAAATAAATAGGGGGAAACTCTACACCCTGTCACGAAGCAAACATTATCATTAGTTGAATCGTCTTGACTTCGTTTGAAACGTCTTCCGGTTGACTCGAGCTAAACCAACCCGGCCAGTTAATCATGAAATTGAAATGTTGTTGAAAGCAGGCTGGAAAATTCAATTCTCGGATGAGCCCGACATCTTTCCTGGGGAGTCGTTTCACCCGTCGATCCTCGGTTTTGATTTGAATGCCATGACCAGGAACGATCGTAGCGAGCAGGACCTGGATTGCTACAACGAGGGCGACAGACAGGGTACACGAACTGATAAACGCGAGTTAGGCCACAGGTAATTACCTTTTCCTTGTAGTTTTCGTTGTCGCGATCATTGCTGGTTTCCGTTTCCGTGAGAAAAAAAAAAGAAAAGAAGAAGTGGACAAAATCGTTTTGGTCCACGGAAAATGAACTGGATTGCTACAACGAGGGCGACAGACAGGGTACACGAACTGATAAATGCGAGTTAGGCCACAGATAATTCCTTTTTCCTTGTAGTTTTCGTTGTCGCGATCATTGTTGGTTTCCGTTTCCGTGAGAAAAAGAAAAGAAAAGAAGAAGTGGACAAAATCGTTTTGGTCCACGGAAAATGAACTGGATTGCTACAACGAGGGCGACAGACAGGGTACACGAACTGATAAATGCGAGTTAGGCCACAGATAATTCCTTTTTCCTTGTAGTTTTCGTTGTCGCGATCATTGTTGGTTTCCGTTTCCGTGAGAAAAAAAAGAGAAAAGAAGAAGTGGACAAAATCGTTTTGGTCCACGGAAAATGAACTGGATTGCTACAACGAGGGCGACAGACAGGGTACACGAACTGATAAACGCGAGTTAGGCCACAGGTAATTCCTTTTTCCTTGTAGTTTTCGTTGTCGCGATCATTGTTGGTTTCCGTTTCCGTGAGAAAAAGAAAAGAAAAGAAGAAGTGGACAAAATCGTTTCGGTCCACGGAAAATGAACCGTTGCGGGACCAGAAACTCGTAATTGGCTGACCTCGTTAGAAGGGATCAGTACGAGGTAGCTCGGCGAAATGAAAATGAAAACAAGTGCTCGGCCGTCAACGTAGGATACGGTGTCCCATAACCGAGAGCGTGCCTCGAGAATATAGGAAATCCCTGAAGAAGAAGAAGAGAACAACGGCGTATCTGATCGGGAAAACGAAACGAAGGGAAGATCCACCGAAAAGATTCGGATTTCTTTGTTCTATCTTCGTTGCCCGTTTGCTCGATAATAACGTGGGCGTACGACGTTGCGCGTGTGCGCAACGATCTGCCTCTGCACATCGCGTCGAACGCGGAGCATGTATACGGAACGCTTCGAAATAAACCGTTGGTAGAACAGTGTACAATTTTGTATTTCGTTTTGTTATTTCTAAAAACGGGATTCGTTGTTCTCGAGATGACCTGTCTGAACCAGTCCGAAGTGATGATTTACCGCTTAACGTTTATTCCGTCTCTTCTATTCTCGATGATTGTTAGCGCCGAAAGACCGACTCCCGATAACAAAGCCAGAAATAAACGGCACCGTATCGCCTTGAATACGGACGAAAACACTAAACACGTTGCAACATACGGAATGTTGCAACTAGTAACTGTCCTGCGGCAATCTGTCTCGACCTCGACGCGTCGTTCGCCGCGCGCTGCGTGCAGCGTGCAGCATGCATTTTTAGGAAGAGCAATCTCTTTTTTCAGGGACGGTAACGCGTTCGCACCGCGCCTCGTGTCTCCCTGGAAATCCACTGCGTTGATTTCCCCGAACGCGCTCGCTCGCAAATTAATCGTGCTTTTTACGCCGTACCGGTTTATTTGGGTTACTCGATTTATTCGGAACAATGTGTTTCCACCTAGCGAGCATCGTCGAGCGTTTCCCTCGAACTCGTTCTCTCTTCCTAGAACCTTCAATCTGTATCGAACCAAAGCTTCTTCCTTCCTGAATGACGCACGTGTTAATCCTTTCGCTACCTATAAATTACATTAGCTCATTCGTTAGATAGATAAATCCTTTTCTAGATACCCTCTTCTTTTTTAAATAGATACTCTTTCTATGGAACTTGAAGCATTTCCAACCGCATCCCTTGTGTAGTCACAATGAATGATTCCTGTAAATTTTCAATCTCATGAATATTTCATGCCTCAACCGTGTAGGAGTCGCGCGCGAATGTATTTAGATCTATTATTATACAGGGTGTACCGAAAATCTTGGTACATCTGTCCGGATAGTGATTCTACATGGAAAAATAAGTCGAAGAGAAAAGAACATTTTTTCACTTAAGGCTTCGTTTTCGAAAAAACTGAGTTGATAGATGCGTCGAGTTCGCGTGGCGTGTAGTACGACGAGAAATAGAATTCATATGTCATGGTCAGAGGCGCCGCTTGGTTCCTATTGAATAGTATCATTTTTTCAATTCAATTTTAAATGAAAAAATTCAATATATAATAATATATTAAATAATATTATTATATATACAATATATATAATATATTATATATATTATATATATTATATATATTATAATATATGTATAATATATAATAAATATATAATATATATATTATATATATTATAATATATAATAAATATATAATATATATATTATAATATATATAATAATATAATATATTTATATATTATTATATAATATTATTATATATATATTAAATTAAATATATAATAATGAAATGTTATTCGTTTTTTCGACTTATGTTTACACGCAGAATCGTCACCTGTACAGTTGTACAACGATCTTCGATACGCCCTGTACAGAAGTGTTACACAGCTATTAAAACGCGCCTGTCATTCTGATCATTTTCCGGATTCCAAACCGACCCGTCACCGTAGAGGCAATTAAAGAAAAAAAAGTTCGAAGCGCCCGAGAGCACGTGCTGAATCGCTCGTGGTCATTTTAAGGAATGAGACACCAAACACCAGATTCTATAGTACTATCCGGGCGCCATCGTTTTCTCGAAATACGGATACGATTCGCTTTTGCCGCTGGTCGACCCGTTCGGTACGTAGCCTGTGCAACGAAGAGCACGCTTCGGTACAAAGTTCAAAATCGTAGCAACAATATATAGCCAGAGGTATTCGGTTTCAGTGAGTAATTCTGCGCTCTGTAGATTGAAAACAAAATGAGGGAAGAATAACATATCGGTGCGATGAGGATGCGGCACGGTAGAAGAACCCTGTCGCGTAAGTGCGTAGGCAAGGTATCAATGTCTCTGAAACGCGTCACGTTCTACCATACATATATCGTCCCTGGTGGATATGACGTATTCCGAGGCTCTCATCCATAGATCTATCTTCTGGCATGCATACGTCAATAGATTGGATCGATGCGTGGGTCTTCTGCTGCGAGCGACAGTACCTGTTCCACCTCATTTGACCAAGTACATTGTTGAACACATTGTCTCGAACGATCAAGGGTGAATCGTGTTTTCAGGGGATCGAAATGCGTGTAGGGTGCTCTTGCAGCTAGTGCAATCTCTCTTAGTCGTCGGATTAACGGTCCGTAGACGACGCGACGAAACTTGGGAAAAATTGTAAATCGATCGTTCGTTGATATCGGAAGGCTATCGACACAATTCTTTGGCTAGACCGAAAAAATTGGGTTATAGAGGAGATTCGAGAAACTGTTGCAAGAACGATGGGAGCAACTTATTCTGGTCACTGGCAGAAAACCCTGGCAATATGTCTGATAGGTATTAATTGTACTGTCGCAACATGGACACGTGTCGTTCGTCAGTGTCATCGGGTGCATCGAACAAAACGAAATGCGCCGGGGAAGTGTGTACTCGGTGAAGTTCAGAAATGAATTTCAACGGATCAGAGCGTGTTTTTGGTCTTGTAGTCGTCTCTCGTCGCTGCCGCTGCGTCTCAACCCACGGATTAACCCGTTTTAGACGGAGCCTCGAACAACAGAAATTTCGTTGAGACACGTTGTGTCGTGTCGACCACAATTCAACGATTGCTCACAGTGCCTTTTATCTCGCATCGCGACTGCAGATCGAAACGCTGACGCGATTCCTTATCGTGTCGTAACTTTGTCCTGGAGACACTTACACGTACTATTCTGAATCACAACTTTGGGAATTTGCTGATCCTTTAAGTAACTCCATATCTGGAACGAAGACGTCCTAGCTGTTCCAAGCTGTTCTGAACCAAGCAGTTAGAAATTATAAATAGAAATAACGAACTCGCTGCCAAAAACCGTGGGCGTTACTCCCTTCGAAAAATTCGTAATTGCGTTACCTGCGCGATCGACAAGCTCTTGGATGCTTGACTCTTGACACCGGCAATTCGAAACATTTAAAACAGTTAGATCACGGAAACGATGCCAAGAAAGAAAACGACAATGTGTTCGTTTTCGTTACACAATGCTGGGCGGTGCACCACTGACCTGTATCATGCAACGAACAATATTTTTCTTCGCGATGTTTACCCTCGGCGAGGAGAAGCGATCCTGGTTACGCTTCTTTGTCGCCGACATCTGAAATTGAAACCGAAACTGAAGCTGAAGCTGAAGCTGAAACCGAAACCGTAACTGAAACGATACAAACGATCCTCGCTGTTTCTTTTCTATCGCAACACTATATGGAACATGTAAACACTTAAATACACGGCCAGCAAATAGCCGGAGTGAAAGTGCAGAGAACGCATGCCTTAGCGCCGTAGCCGCAGATTCGTGTTTAGGCCGTATGTACATCCTCGCTCGATGCTTGACCGACTTAACCAAAAGTCGATATCGTGAACCGGGAAGCGAAAGAGGCTCTGGGTTAGGTGTCTGAGCGATTTAACCCTTTGCGCTATAACAACGAGTCAGACTCGTGACGAACATTCGTCGTCTCTTCTGAATGAAAATAGAATTTGATTGTTCTGTTATCAAAATCTAGGGTCCAAAGTAAACGAAGACATATCAAAAATACAAAAATTGTCTCGTTCTATCAGGACAATGATCGAGGACAAAGAACAACTGATCAAGGTAGCTGCGAAATAAATCATAGTGCAAGGGGTTAAACAGCGGCCAAACGAATAGAGCCGCGACGGCGGTCGGAAATTGGCAGTTGCCGCATCCAGAAACAGAATCGCACGATCCATCTTTTCGTAATTGTTGAAAGCTATGTAACATCATCGGCCCGACCTTCCACGCCGACGCGACGAAATCCGCGGGAAAATATCTCGAATTCCGGACATCCATTGTTTATCGCTGCTGCTGTCCAAAGTCGGAACGCGCCTTTTGCCTAAAAACTCACAAATCGGCTCGATATCGACAATATCATAATATTCCACTTGTGTCCGACGCGAAGACATTCCCGGTTACAGCGTTTCTCAATCGTGATAATGGATCGCCGCGATGTACTTTATCTCTACATACGTTTCGTAGAGCGACAGCCGTCGAAACTTTCCGAGTATCTGCGACCTGCGATTTCGTAACTACATACTTCAGATCGAAACTTTAAGGAATATCTCTGCTGTTGCATCGCGCCGAAAGGTCGAATTTGGCGGTTCTAATTTTAGCTCTAGTTTAAGCAGGTAGTTTCCTAGTGTGCTACATATGTATATGAATCGCGATTACCAAGGTGACGTGGTTCGGGCCTGTGTGTACCCGCGGCAACTCTGTGGCCCACTGCACATGATTTCTTTCAACGTTCCTCAAACCCCGAAGTTGTTGCACGCTCGTCCTTGCATTTCAAAAATAATCGATGTCCTCGCGTACGGCAAAAAATGGGATACTCTCGCAATTCTCGATTTCTTGATGTTTTTACGCCCTCGTGTCTTTGGCTCTTTGTTTCTCTATTTCTCTATGTATACGTCCGACGATATCATATAATATAATATATAATATAATTCTATATATATAATATATATAATATATAATTCTCTATATATATAATATATATAATATATAATTCTCTATATATATAATATATATAATATATAATTCTATATATATATATATATATATATATATATATATATATATATATATATATAATATTCATATATATAATATAATTCTGTCTAACCATGTTGCATATTATTCACAGTGAGAAAACAAATGCTGTCTTAATGTGGGTAACGCTCGCGTTTAGGTGAAAAGTGACTGACGCAATTTCAATGATCGTTTCATGCATTGATTAACCCAGCCATCGGCCGAGAACCGGGATTTTTCTCTGAACCGACTGTTGCGAAACTTTGCTGAGTTCGTTGCCATTATAAACTGTTCGATGCATGTCTGTTTCGTGATATTCGTGACCGAAACACCTCGTATTCAAGTTTATCCACGAAGTTACTTTGTCAACGAACGCGATCATCTGGCGCAATAAGTAGATAAGTACACGACACGTCTGTTGCCCGGGCCGTTGCACGCAACCTATTCACGGGACAAAGGGGATTGTTCGTGAAACCGTTAAACCCTTACAGCGACATTCGAACAAATGAATAATCGCGCGACAATTATCCGAACCGCGAATGCCAGGCAATACTTTCCCTCGCGTCGCGTCGCTGGATTTGTTGCAACACCGTCGTTCGCAGCGAGGATCGCTGCTCGTTCGAGCGTGTGCCGCGCTTCCATGCCGAAAACGGAAACAATAATATCGCTGGTAAAACTGTTATTGTGTAATCACGATAAATGGCGGTTCATAGTTCATCGGTGGCGCGAGCTATGCCACATGTTTTATTCTCTTTCGGTTTACATATTTCCAAAGGCAAACTGTTAAGCGATAGAGGAGACATGAGAAAGCAGGAGAAGACCAGCCGGTATTATACGTATGCACATTAATTAACACATTAAAGGCGGGGGATCTTGACGAAAGTATGCTAGGTAACGCGGCGACCGCCCCGCCTCGTTTTTCGTCCTAGAGCGGGCGATATTTTGTGCAATCATAAAAAAATTTACACTTAAAAAAGTTTATTTAAACTCTCTTAAAACTAAAAGAAATATTAAAAAAGAACTGAACACTAATTACAAAAAATGTTTCAAAGTACATATTAAATCGTAGTACCACGACTCCCGCCTTTAATGTGTTAATACGAAGCGTTAATTGTCGTCGTACGCTTTGTGTTGGAACGAGATACCGAAAGGAAAACCGGCCGATTCGTTTATATATTATATTTTCTCGATGAACATGTAACGGATAGGAAGAATGACTGAACACTGTCTTATTGTTAATACATGTCGATATATACCCGGAAGATGATTACTCCTATCGGTACGTATTAGCCGAGGAGTCGGGCACTCGGTAAGTCAAGGATCAGTTGACGTTTGATCATCGCGCGGATCACATCGTATATTTCTGTCTCACGCGAGTTTACTTGTGTATCGAATAGATGTCTTTCGACTGGCAACCGCGAGATTCTTGCCTTCCATCTGTATCTGGATTTTGTAGCAAGTGCAGTGGCTTGCTACGATCTTCGAAACTTTCTTCTTGCGACCGATAGATCAATGAAAATTAATATAACTTCGGACTGACGGGCAAGTAAAAACTGGACGTCAATTACGTAAATTCGATTGTTTACCGATTGTTCGGCAAGTAAGACCATTTTCATGACAGCTTTCGGTTACGTGATCATTTACATTTGTTGATTGTGAAGAACATAGCGTCGCGTTCGCGTAGTCTCAAATACTTTCACCACCCAAGGGTGGTATAATAAATAATTGTTATAAGATAAATAATCATAATATATCATTATGACGAAGTAGTAGATATTAGTGATTCAAATTCTCTTGCAAGGCCCGGGTAATATCAATCGTGAAACCATGAAACAGATTCTTCGGCGAAGTTGATCGTATCCGAATGGAATAACGTTCTTTTATATCCTATAGAATTGACGAATATCGGCCGTTAGAGGACGTGGAAGATTTGAATCGAGTAGAACTTCTGATCTCGGTCGTGAGAAAGATTGGTCGAGATAGTGTAACTAAATACATAGCATCCGTGGAACGTGGGATAGCTTCTTTGTAGATACTGCTCCTTGTGACAGACATCCCGTCTACCCAATGACATTGACCTTCGTAGCTTTTATTCAGTCGTTAACAGAGCCTCCCCCCTCTCTTTTTCTGAGCTATAGTTAATTTAGCTATAGCAATTGTCGAGAAAATTGTAGAACAATTTGAACAGTAAAAGTAAATTGCTGACAGCGCGACACGCCGCGTCACGAACATTCGTGTCTTAATGTCCAACACGGTAGCACATTAACTGCATTCGCCCACCATAGAAAATTCCAACGAATTTCTTATGACGCTGTATCGCTTTCACTCGAATCGCATGACAATTTTCGTGCGCTGATTAGCATCGAATTTTGGTTTTACCAAATACTGTTTTTTTATCGATTGACCTGACAGGGACTTGCTCGTATCGATCGCACAGGGTGCCGATGATTGTTTGAAAATAGTGAAAATTGTGAAAAATGTGGCTGAAGGACGCGAGTGATGTCGTATCGGCTGCGAATATCGCGAACTCGCGATGCTGTGTCCAAAACGAGTAAGTTTTTCCCACCCTCGTATCATTCACTTCCGTTTCATATATTATTCTTAATTCGCATAAATTCTACTTGATCGATGAATTACCGCCAGTTTTTTTATTCACGATTACTTCACGATTACTTCACGATTTGTAAACGAATTCTTGCACACCTGTAGATTTTTTTTGTTGACCAATCGATTACCGATATAAAAGAATTGCTATTGAACACTGTTATCTAACAGATTATTGATTATATTGATCAAGTTAGAACTTCGCGAATTGATATCGATAAATGTAGCAGTTGGTTACAACCTGATAGATGGCCGGTATTGGCTATACGGAAGACAGGTTGTTGATCCGCACAATAAGAAGATCAAAGAATCAATGAACAGTCGCATATGATTAAAGTACTGATAAAACAGATTCAATCGTCGTTCTCGTAGTGCAAATCAGCGTCCAATTATGTTAAACCTGAGCCTGTAGGTCAGATACGAATCTAAGTACAGTGGCGACTATATGTATATGTACTTATGAACGCTTGCAAAACGTTATAACGTTTTTAAAACTGGATTAAATGACTTGAATTTTTTTTTAGATAATGGAGGAAATAATCTATTTTCAATTTTGTTATCCGAGCCCATAACGAAAATTTAAAAATGCATTATTATTATTATTATTATTATTATTATCATTATTATTATTACGAGTGCTATTACTGTCAAGATAAATACAAATTTAAAGATTTCACAAAAATGAAACATTTTACGAGATGCGAGAAATTTAAGTTAACATTGAATTTATCAGAATGCAGATGAATTGTTGTACGAATTATCAGTATTGCCACGAAGTTAAATCAATAATAACAATTGAAACATAACCGTTAAACTTGAATCTTCCTTGTAATCTTATCTGAATAATTTGTTCGTTTATTCGAAAGAAGAATGTCTTCTGATGATAGTCTGTCAACGCTTCGAAGAATTAGCGATTCCGAAATTATGAGGCTCCCAGATATATCTGCGATTAAACTGGTCGATTTGGATTCTGACATTTTTACAAAGGCTAGAAGCATTGCCGTAAACAGGTTCGAGTTCGAAGAGGTCGTTGTGATTCAACGATCCCCGGAATATTCTGAAATATTCTTTGAATGCGAACACATGTATGTATATTCGTGTTGTTTGCTTCTGTTTCAGAATTTTTGTCAACCGTAGTCTCCATTTAGAAAACATCAAGTTCTATGGCTTCGATATGGATTACACGTTGGCAGGTAACTCGCCTCATAATTGAAGGACGTCATGTGTTATTCGCATAATAGTGTGTAGAATATAAAATACAGAGTACAGAAGATTTCAGTGGACGTTTTAAATGTTGTAGAGTACAAATCGCCACAGTACGAACAATTGGGTTTTACATTATTGAAGGATCGTCTTGTGTCGTTGGGATATCCGCAAGAGATCAAGGCGTTCGAATACGACCCTAGTTTCCCAGTGCGAGGATTATGGTTCGACACGCTTTATGGGAATCTCCTCAAAGTGGACGCCTATGGAAACATCTTGGTCTGCGTCCACGGTTTCGAATTTTTGAAACAGTAATTATTACGTTCACGTGAATAATATTTTGATCTCTCCAAGATTCGAGTCACGATGCCGTGGAAACTGGAATTACTACAAGTAATTTTCAACTAGCGTGGCGAGAAAACTGTAGCCGAGTAGATTGTATCTAACTTCATTTTCGTTATTTACGCTCCCCCAACCCTCTCTATTAGAACTCTAGTAGAACTTAGCGGCACAATTATTTCAGACGAAGTTTCTTCTTTTTTTCTTTTCCTTTTGCAATGTTCCAGTTCACAAGTATACGAGCTTTATCCGAACAAATTTTTACAATTGGACGAGTCCAGGGTATACGTGCTCAACACACTGTTCAATCTTCCCGAAACGTATCTACTAGCGTGCCTAATCGACTTTTTTACCAATTCGCCGCAATACACGCGAGAGAAGACAGGAGTGAAAGAGGGGGAATTGACAATGAGTTTCAAGAGCATATTCCAGGATGTTCGAAACGCGGTCGACTGGATACATCTTCACGGTGACCTTAAGTCGAAAACCATCGAAAACTTGGACGAGTATGTGAAAAAGGACGAAAGGTTACCAATGTTCCTTAACAGGATCAGAGAAAGCGGGGCGAGAATATTTCTGTTAACGAATAGCGATTACGTTTTTACCGATAAGATTATGACTTATCTGTTTGACTTTCCTCATGGAGCGAAAGTACGTGGTCAGATAGGTCGTTGTATATGTTCGATCAACAAAAACTATGCTTCCAATATACTTAAGGTTCTTTCTTTGTTCATAGTCCGATGAACCGCATCGGAATTGGAAAACCTATTTCGATACTATCGTGGTTGATGCTAGGAAACCGTTGTTCTTTGGTGAAGGTACGATTTTGCGACAAGTAGATACGAAAACTGGTGCATTGAAGCTTGGAACCCACAAAGGCCCGCTTCATACGGGTACGTTGTTATGCTTGGCCATGATCGGAAAATAATTGATTATGGTAGTAAGAAAATGGTTTCCTTTGAACACAGGAGAAGTCTATTCGGGAGGTTCGTGTGACGTTTTCACCGAACTGATAGGAGCTAAAGGCAAAGATGTATTATACGTCGGTGATCATATTTTTGGTGATATTTTGAAGAGTAAAAAGATCAGAGGGTGGAGAACATTTTTAATAGTGCCTGAATTAGTTCAAGAGCTTCACGTCTGGACAGACAAGTGTCAATTGTTTGCCGAATTACAGAATCTAGACGTTATGTTAGGGGAAATGTATAAGTGAGTCTCAAAATCGGCAAAATGTGTAAATTTTGTATATGTAGTAATTTGCTATATGCATTTTATTCTAATATCTATGTTATATTAAATTTCTCTATATCTTCTCTGTATTTAGAAATTTAGATAGCAGCACAAAAGAAAAACCCGACATTTCTAAGCTCCGAGCTTCTATAAGAGATGTTACGCACAAAATGGATTTGTCTTACGGCATGATGGGTTCTCTGTTTCGAAGCGGAAGTAGACAAACCTTCTTTAGTAGTCAAGTAGTTAGGTATGCTGACCTTTATGCAGCAACTTTCTTGAACCTGATTTATTACCCGTTTTCGTACATGTTCAGAGCACCCGCTATGTTGGTAAGTGAAAAATCAGCTCGTCCTTACCGGTAATTTTCTAATTGATTTCAAACTGATTTATTTTTTTTTTCAGATGCCCCATGAAAGCACCGTAGCCCACGAGCAGAGATTCGTAATGGAAACACCAATGATCAGTCGGTCCCGAACTTTTAAACTCAACGATGAAGAAGAAGAACCAACCAGACCATCCGTAAGTGCCAACCTCATGTTTCTCGCTTTGTTTTTCAAAAAACCCTGTTATTGCTGTTATGTATGCAATGTCCAGAAGACGTTGTACGTGGAGTGTTCGAACAATCAAATTCCACACGCAAGGCCTGAAACTCCGCGCAATGTAACGCATACACACGACGAAGACTGTAGCGACGAAGACAGCGATTCCCAGAAGCAGGCGAACCATGTAAGATCATGCTCAACCCATGCTAATTGTAAATGAATATTTCTTTTTTCTTTTCTTTTCTTTTCTTTTCTTCCATCGCCATTTCATTATTGTTACGTTTCGTTCTTACACTTTTTAATAATTCAATCATATTATTAAAGGATTTTATACGACCCTGCTACGTAAACGGAGTACTCTAAGATCTTGATCGGATTTATTGAATGATACGCTATACTTCATTCCCGCATCTATTCAACTATTGTATAACTTTATTAGAACACACTCGGCACGGTTTTCTTACACCGTGTCCCCTACATTTTGAGGTCTTTATCGGAGTCATTGATATATTTCAAAAAATCTAGGAACGTATATGATTTCTCTAACTAAAGTTGCTTCAGAGTTGCATCCTTATATTTGATATTGCTTCATTCACGAAATATCAATCTTATACATATTGTTTTTATGA